CTTGCAGTGGGGTGGAACACAGAAGGCTTCAGAGAAAAGAACCCTGACTTGAGTTGAAGGTATTTTCTTTTTATAAATTGATATTTATTGAGCTCTACGGTTTTCTCTGCTCCCCTCCCTGCCTCTCCCCTCCCCCTCCAGCCCTCTCCCCAAAGTCCCCATGCTCCCAATTTACTCAGGAGATCTTGTCTTTTTCTACTTTCTACTTCCCATGTAGATTAGATCCATATTTGTCTTTCTTAGTGTCCTTATTGTTGTCTAAGTTCTCTAGGATTGTGGTTTGTAGGCTGGTTTTCTTTGCTTTATGTTTAAAATCCACCTATGAGTGAGTACATGTGATAGTTGTCTTTCTGTGTCTGGGTTACCTCACTCAAAATGATGTTTTCTAGTGCCATCCATTTTCCTGCAAAATTCAAGGTGTCATTATTTTTTTCCGCTATGTAGTACTCCATTGTGTAAATGTACCACATTTTCCTTATCCGAGTTGAAGGTATTTTCAATTCATTATTTTCTTATAGCTCATAATTCCTTACCCTGCCTGGCTTGTTATATAAAAGAATTTCTCACTGATGATTGCAAACTTTTTGAAGTTTACACTTCAAAAAGTTTTGAAGTTATGCATGTTAGAAATGTATGTTATGTATTACACAATGTGGGTTAGGAATCTTTGCTGTATTAGGAAATGATCTGTCACAGACAGGAGAAAGGGGGCAGGAAGCTGGCTATCAGGAACAACTTCATAGCGGAGCTAATCCTTGATCTGTGCTTTGAGAGACGGATAGGTGTTTGCCTAAATGCCAAGAAGAGATATGCAGATTAAAGGCCGTTTTACGCAACAAAAGTACCATGTTAGAATCCCACATGCTGTGGACAGTTAGAGAGGTGCACAGCAACACAGGAGTCTCCAAGGAGTAGCATAGAATAGACCTTAAGTTCAGTATTAAGGTCGATAGAATGCTGGAAACAAGGAGAAGCCAACGAGCAGACTTAAGGAGCGTCATGACCTTATCAGATTTGTGTCTTAGAAAAATCCTCTGACTTCAGTACAGAGAATAAAATTGCATGCTGTCGTTGGATCGCCTGGGAAGGAACTACTACATTGTTCACAAAGAAGAGCAGGGCTTGAACTAAGGTGGATGAAGGTGAGGACGGAATACTGTCTAGCCACTTGCTGGTTGCACATGAGGAGATGTAGGCAAGTTGAAAATCATAAATTTTTGGCTTAAGGTACTTGGGGAATAGAGTTGCTTTTGATGATACTCAGAATCAGCCATATTAATATTTTCACAGTTCTTTTATCCCTGATAACCATATATGAAATGACGATATTATGATTCTGAAGTTATTATGTGAAGAAATTAAAGCACAAAGTGGTTAAGTTTATTACTGAGCCATCCCTGGTTGGATATAGATCTAGGCCTGTTTGGCCTAAAAGTAGAATGCTGCCTCTGAGGAGGATGTCTTTAGAGGGAAAGACAGTGAATTTGTATAGACCATAAGAGGCCTGAAAGAGAGTCTTGTGAAATTGTACAGCTAGGTGTTGGAAAGCAGACCTAGTGAAAGCATGGGTTGTGTGGGAGATGGAGATTTAAAGGTCACTGACACATGAGTAATTCTTAAAGCCGTACTTCCCCCTTAATCTGGTAAAATGAGAGTTTTTGGGGAGTAGAAATAAAAACTATGGAGATACTGACATTCATTTATGATTTTTTTCTTGTCTAATTTTAAGAACATCCATTTTCCCCTTTATGGAGAAGATATGCCCACACTTATGAAAAAACCAGGGACCACTAATGGTAAGTATTAATGGAAAGGGGAAAAAGTCAGGACTCAGCAGTATTAATAGAGTAACTCAAATCAAGAAAACTAGCAACAGAAACTACCTAATAGAAGGAACACAGAGAGAGAGAGAGAGAGAGAGAGAGAGAGGGAGGAGGGAAGAAGAAGAAGAAGAAGAAGAAGAAGAAGAAGAAGAAGAAGAAGAAGAAAAGAAGAAGAAGGTGCCCATCCTAGCTTTCATCCAGGTACACTTTCCTCTCTTCCTTCCTTCCCCCTGGAGCCATAAGATCTCCCCAGCTCATCTGCCTTGCACGCTGGGCCTGGGCTGTGGGTGCAACCCGGCAGGAGGCAGTTCCTGTGCTTTGATAACCTGCCTGAGGACAGGTGGGCCCTGTGTCAGCTCAGCTACATTCCTGGCCAGCAAGGGGCACTGATCTTCTAGCAGACATCCATCGGAGGAGGGGATTTCCCCAGCTCAGCTGCCTTGCATGCTGGGCCTGGGCTGTGAACGCAACCCGGCAGGAGGGAGTGCCTGTGTTTCAATAGCCTGCCTGAGAAAAGGTAGGCCTTCTGTCAGTGAAGTCCCTGCCCAACAAGGGAACCTGACCCGGTATCAGAAGATCCAATAGAGAGCATTTGAAGGAGGAGATGGGCAGACGCCAAGGCAAGAACTCCTCCAACAATCTGAAAACAACATGAAAACACCAGATCCCAACGACCCTACAATAGAAGGACTTGAACACCTTAATCCAGAAGAAGTGGAAAAAAATGCCATTATGAAAGCAATAGAATCCCTTAAACAGGATATGAATAACTCCCTTAAAGAATTGGATGAGAAGTACAACAAAAAGTTTGAAGAAATGAGTAAAGAAATGGATGAGAAGTATAATAAAATTGAAGAACTGAGTAAATCCGTGAATGATACACTGGGAAACCAAGAAAAAACAATCAAACAGGTAATGGAAACAGTTCAAGAATTGAAAACTGAAATGGAGGCAATGAAGAAAACACAAACCGAGGGCCGGCTGGATATGGAAAATCTAGGTAAACAAACAGAGACTACAGAATCAAGCATAACCAATAGAATACAAGAGATGGAAGAACGAATCTCAGATTCTGAAGATACCATACAGAAAATAAATGCTCTGATCAAAGAAAACAGCAAATCTAACAAATTCTCATCACAAAACATTGAAGAAATCTGGGACACAATAAAAAAACCAAATCTAAGAATAATAGGGATTGAAGAAGGAGAAGAACTGCAGATCAAAGGCCCAGAAAATATATTCAACAAAATTATAGAAGAAAACTTTCCCAACCTAAAGAACAATATTCCTATGAAGGTTCAAGAAGCATACAGAACACTGAATAGACTTGATCAAAAAAAACCATCCTCTCGCCATATAATAATCAAAACACAAAACATACAGATTAAAGAAAGAATATTAAGAGCTGCAAAGGAAAAAGGTCAAGTAACTTATAAAGGTAAACCTATCAGACTTACACTCGACTTCTCTATGGAAACCATGAAAGCCAGAAGGTCCTGGATAGAGGTACTGCAGAAACTAAGAGACCATGGATGCAAACCCATACTACTATACCCAGCCAAGCTATCATTCACTATCAATGGAGAAAACAAAATATTCCAGGATAAAAACAAATTTAAACAATTCGTAGCCACAAATCCAGCCGTACAGAAAGTAATAGAAGGAAAATCGCAACCCAAGGAATCCAACATTGCCAACACTGCCTACAATAACTCAGACATCTAGCGACCTTTCACAAGCACAACTTAAAGAAGGGAAACATACAAACTCTACTAAACAAAAAAAAATAATAACCGGAGTCAACAACCACTGGTCATTAATATCACTTAATATTAATGGACTCAACTCACCTATAAAAAGGCACAGACTAAGAGATTGGATACGAAAACAGGATCCAACATTCTGCTGTTTACAAAAAACACACCTCAACCACAAAGACAGACATCTATTCAGAGTAAATGGTTGGGAAAAGGTTTTTCAAGCAAACAGACCTAAGAAACAAGCGGGTGTGGCCATTCTAATTTCCAACAAAATTGACTTCAAACTAAAATCAATCAGAAGAGATGGAGACAGACATTTTATACTCATAACAGGAACAATTCATCAGGAAGAAGTCTGGTTTTTAGATAAGTACCATGTACCAAAGTTAAATCAAGACCAGGTGAACAATCTCAATAGACATGTTAGTCGCGAAGAATTAGAAGCTGTTATCAAAAACCTCCCTTTCAAAAAAAGCCCAGGACCAGATGGTTTCAATGCAGAATTCTACCAGAACTTCCAAGAAGTGCTAATACCTATACTCCTTAATGTATTTCACAATATAGAAACAGAAGAGTCATTGCCAAATTCTTTTTATGAAGCTACAGTTACCCTGATACCAAAACCACATAAAGACACAACCAAGAAAGAGACTTACAGGTCAATCTCACTCATGAACATCGACGCAAAAATTCTCAACAAAATCCTGGCAAACCGATTCCAAGAACACATTAGAAAAATTATCCATTATGATCAAGTAGGCTTCATCCCAGAGATGCAGGGCTGGTTCAACATATGCAAATCTATCAATGTAATCCATCATATAAATAAACTGAAAGAAAAATAACCATATGATCATTTCATTAGATGCTGAAAAAGCATTTGACAAAATTCAACATCCCTTTATGATAAAGGTGTTGAAGAGATTGGGGATACAAGGATCATACCTAAATATAATAAAAGCTATTTACAGCAAACCGACAGCTAACATCAAACTGAATGGAGAGAAACTCAAAGCCATTTCATTGAAATCAGGAACATGACAAGGCTGTCCACTCTCCCCATACCTCTTCAATATAGTGCTTGAAGTTCTAGCAATATCAATAAGACAACATAAGGGGATCAAGGAGATTTGAATTGGAAAGGATGAAGTTAAACTCTCGTTATTTGCAGATGATATGATAGTGTACATAAGCGACCCCAAAAACTCTACCAAAGAACTCCTACAGCTGATAAACACCTTTAGTAATGTGGCAGGGTACAAGATCAACTTCAAAAAATCAGTTGCCCTCCTATACATAAAGGATAAAGAAGCAGGGAGGGAAATCAGAGAATCTTCACCTTTCACGATAGCCACAAATAGCATAAAATATTTTGGGATAACTCTAACCAAGGAAGTGAAAGACCTATTGGACAAGAACGTTAAGTCTTTGAAGAAAGAAATTGAGGAGGATACCAGAAAATGGAAAGATCTCTCCTACTCTTGGATTGGGAGGATCAACATAGTTAAAATGGCAATTCTACCAAAAGCAATCTATAGATTCAATGCAATCCCCATTAAAATCCCATCAAAATTCTTCACAGACCTTGAGAGAACAATAATCAACTTTATATGGAAAAACAAAAAACCCAGGATAGCCAAAACAATCTTATATAATAAAGGAACTTCTGGAGGTATAACCATCCCTGTCTTCAAACTCTATTACAGAGCTACAGTATTGAAAACAGCTTGGTATTGGCATAAGAACAGAGAAGTCGACCTATGGAATCGAATAGAAGACCCAGATATTAACCCACAAACCTATGAACACTTGATTTTTGACAAGGAAGCTAAAGGTATACAATGGAAGAAGGAAAGCATCTTTAACAAATGGTGCTGGCATAACTGGATGTCAACCTGTAGAAGAATGAAAGTAGATCCATATCTATCACCATGCACAAAAATCAAGTCCAAATGGATTAAAGACCTCAACATTAACCTGATCACTTTGAACCTGATAGAAGAGAAAGTGGGAAGTAGTCTACAAGACATAGGCACAGGAGACCACTTCCTAGGTAGAACCCCAGTAGCACAGACAGTAAGAGAATCAATGAATAAATGGGACCTCCTGAAACTGAGAAGCTTCTGTAAAGCAAAGGACACTATCAGTAAGACAAAAAGGCTGCCTTCCGACTGGGAAATGATCTTCACCAACTCCTCACCAGACAAAGGTCTGATCTCCAAAATATACAAAGAACTCAAGAAACTAGACACTAAAAGTCTAATTAAGCCAATTAAAAAATGGGGTACTGATCTGAACAAAGAATTCACAACAAAAGAACTTCGAATGGCCAAAAGACACTTAAGGTCATGCTCAACCTCCTTAGCGATCAGGGAAATGCAAATCAAAACAACTATGAGATACCATTTTACACTGGTCAGATTAGCTAAACTCAAAAACACCAATGATAGCCTATGCTGGAGAGGATGTGGAGTGAGGGGAATACTCATTCATTGTGGTGGGAGTGCAAACTTGTGCAGCCACTGTGGAAATCAGTGTGGCGGTTTCTCAGGAAACTGGGAGTCAACCTCCCTCAGGACCCAGCAATTCCACTCTTGGGAATATACCCAAGAGATGCCCTATCATACTACAAAAGTATTTGTTCAACTATGTTCATAGCTGCACTATTTGTAATAGCCAGAAGCTGGAAACAACCTAGGTGCCCCTCAATAGAAGAATGGTTAAAGAAGGTGTGGAACATATATACACTAGAGTTTTACTCAGCGGTAAAGAACAATGACATCTTGAATTTTGCATGCAAATGGATGGAAATAGAAAACGCTTTACTGAGTGAGGTAACCCAGACCCAAAAATAGGAATATGGTATGTACTCACTCATAAGTGGATTCTAGCCATAATTAAAGGTCTTTGCGCCTATTATTCGTGATCCTAGAGAAGCTAAATATGAAGGTGAACCTGAAGAAAATCATGTAGTTTTCCTCCTGGATATTGGAAGTAGACAAGAGTGCCAGGCAACATTGGGTGCACGGGGGCGGGAGTGAATGGAAGGGGAGAGGGTTAGAGAGAAGGGAGTAGGGAAGGATTGGGGAAAGCTTGGGGGATTGTGATGGGGGGGGAGGGAGGAAGGATGGTTATGGGAGCAGGGAAGTATATATCTCAATTAAGGGAGCCATTTTAGGGTTTACAAGAGAATTGATTCTAGAGGGATACCCAGGTCCAAGGAGAGATCCCCAGATTGTTCCCTGGACAGCAGAGGAGAGGGTGCCTGAACTGGCCTTGGCCCATAACCATACTGATGAATATTTTGCATATCACCATAGAACCTTCATCTGGTGATGGATGGAGATAGAGACAGAGACCCACATTGGAGCACTGGACTTAACTCCCTATGTCCAAATGAGAAGCAGAAGGAGGGAGAACGTGAGCAAGGAAGGCAGGAGCAGAGGGAACCTTCACCCGATGATGAAAGGAGATAGAGACAGAGACCCACATTGGAGCACTGGACTGAGCCCCCAAGGTCCAAATGAGGAGCAGAAGGAGGGAGAACATGAACAAGAAAGGCAGGACTGTGAGGAGTACGTTCACCCACTGATACAAGGGGACTGATCTAATGAGAGTTCACCAAGGCCAGCTGGACTGGGACTGAATGAACACGTGATCAAACCGGATTCTCTGAATGTGGCTGGCACGGGGACTGTCTGAGAAGCACTGGGACTTGTTTCCTCTGCATGTTCTGGATTTTTGGGATCCTAGTCAGTTTGGATGCTCACCTTCCTAGACCTGGAGGGAGGGGGGAGGAACTTGAACTTCCCGCAGGGCAGGAAACACTGACTGCTCTTAGGGCTGGAGAGGGAGGAGGAGAGGGAGTGGAGGGAATGGGAGGGTATTGGGAGGAGGGGCGGAAGTGGAAACTTTTATAAATTAATAAAAAAATTTAAAAAAAAGAAAAAGAAGGTAACTAAACCATATGTGCAATGTACAGAACACAGGAGTCTTATTGAGGAACAAGGAACAAGAGTCCTTCCTAGAGGCTGGAGAGATGGCTCAGAAGGTGAGAGCACTGGCTGCTCTTGCTGAAGGCTTGGCTTTGGTTCCCAGCACCCACAGAGCAGCTTCCATCTGTCTGTAACTCCAGTTCCAGGAGATGTCCTCTTCCGACCTCCAGGGGGACTAGGCATGCGCGTGATACACTTACATATGTGCATACAAACACGTCTACACATAAAATAAGGGCTATTATTTTATTATTTTTTTCTTATTCCTACACTAGGACAGAGGGGTGACTTTGTTGAAGGGTTTTTAATGAGTAGTGGGCGATGACATTTTGGTTACTCTGCCATTCAAAGGAAGAAGCATAAATCCCCTCCAAAGACATATAGTTTTGTGTGTCCCTCACTGCTTCTTGTACTTCGCCAAAGTGATCAATAGATAGGCACTGAAAGTTAAACAGATGCAGCTGTGGTGGCAGCTATCATCAATAACAGCTATGCGCTGGTTCTGACTCTGGGTCTCACAGCTACGCCCTATCTGCCTTCCCAACGGTGCTGCCCAGTAGGTGGGAATTTTTACATTTCATAGAATGAAGTGAGACCCAGATATGGAGTGAACCTTCAGAAGCCACAGAGCTGCGTGCACTGAGGGCTTTGAGATTCAAACGTGGATTGGCGTGGTTTCCAAATTTTCATTCTGTCCTTGAGAACAAAACGACGGAGAGGGGAGAGAGGTGAATGGCCGGGAGGCAGGTGAATGGTGGGGAGGAGGCCAATGGCAGCCCGTCTGGCGCCGGTCTGGTTTCTCTTCTCCCTACTCCCCTTTGGTTTGTTCTTAGTCGGTATAAGGGAGAGAATTTTATGGAATTCTAAAGGGTGATCAAAGTCCCAGCTCATGAGATTATTCAGAAGCTAATATGTAACCCTTGGGTGGGGGTTTCTAGTTCATCTGCCCTCACAGCTGCTTGCATTAATGCTTTCTGATCAATACATGTGGTCCTTTTCTGTAGCGTGTCTGAGTTCTCAATAATGAAGGATGCGCATGAAAGCAAACCAAGAAATCACAGGGTGCTCAACCTGCAAAGGCTATGGCATTGTGAAGACAGGAGTTTTAACCAATCAGAATGGACGAAAGACAACGTTTCTGGTCAGCCAAGCAGATCTAAAGCATACTAGAAACTTAGAAAAACTTGCTGTGTTATTTTAATGAAAGATTTTATCGAGCTTTTACTTGATTCCAATAAAATAAGAATAATCAGAAACATTTTAAAAGAAAGATCTGCCACAGCTTTGTTATTTGTCTTGCTTGCAGAGCTCAGCTATTGAAGATCCATCCCTTGCCTTGCCTGCCTGGAAGCTCCAGCAGCTCTTTAGTATTTAACACAACGCATGCTTTAGCTACTTTTAGAAAATCCACAGTTGACCTAGAAGCATCTTGTATGTTCTAGTCTGCTAAGGATAGCTGGCAACACAGGAATGTCATAAAGAAATCTCAGTGGATGTTATACTGTTGGTATACACCGAAGAGAGCCTTGTTTTAATAATTGCTTGTTTGATTTTTAGTTTGTGACTTGTGAACCTAACATAGGCTTTAACTGTCACATTGGCTTTTGACTGTTCCCTGTATGCCTGTGACGGTTAATGTCAACTTGCCAGGCTCTAGAATCACTTACGTGATGGCCTCTGTCTGCGCATATCTAGAGGAAATGTGCATTTTGCTAGCCCCGCTATGTACGTATTAGCTACTTTGCTTATTGCTATGACAAAGCAGCTGACAAACGCAACTTAAAGAGACCAGAATATCTGTTGACTCTTTCAGTTTGAAGGTACCGTCCATCCAGCAGAATACTGGAGTCCTTTGCTGAACAATTCATGACCACTGTGGAGACTTAGTAGGCCAGAGGTGCAATACGCACTGTCAACACCAGGTGTCGCTGCTCTACAATATAAAAAGCCACCGAGTGGTAACCAGGGAGAACTGATGTTAAGACCATTTTCCAATTGTGAAGTGTCAAGTTTTAGGTAGACATGAGTTCCACGTTAAACCAATTTGGATTATCCTGATCTTTTAAAAAAGATACTTCTGAGATATAAATGGACCGCAAAAATCAGTGGTAGAGGTGTGTTGGTTCAACAGGAAAAAGTTGGAAGAATCTCATTGTCCTTGGAACAAAAAGCAAACGTTTTCAGTTTAAAACTCAAACTGGATCCTGCAGACTGAAAGTAAGCAAAGGGCGCCAGAGCGAACCTTTGATTCCTGGCCTTAGACCACAATACCCATCTCGAGGTATGGGCTCCATGTCTTTGGTAGCATCCACGTGAACTCCGTCTCCCTGTGTAGATACTGAGATATCGCAGGTGTAGGACATACCGAGATAACAGGATTTAGCTCTGACTTTCCCATTCAGTTCCATATGGCACATAGTGATAACTCTGTGACGTCCCTGAGAGTTGAAACTCTGAAGCCAATATGACTATCCTAAATGCTATGTGCTTTCTCATCGACAAAACACCAAATATATGCCAAGTATGTGGGTGCTCAGGAAGTTGTGACTTTTGCTACTCCACAAATGTACCATTTGGACCTATAAAGGTGATTGATTCTGCTAGGAGCCTACCTATTTTTTTTTTTTTTTACAGGTAGGTCTTTTGTTCCACTCCAGATGGGATCGTCCGATGAAATTATTGGACATTCATTGAAATTCCTTAAGGAATGAAAACCTCTAAAGTGGAGGTTTCTTGAGACGGTACAGGACAAACCGGTAAATCTCACCCCAGGATGAACTAAGCATGCTGCCCAGGTTCCCGCTTCTGTGCTGGGCTCATCTAATTGCTTACAGCTGCTGTTGTGCCGGCTCTGCATGGGGAGGGTTGGACCTGAAAATGGGAAGGGATGTCTAAAAAATGCTTTGAGAGGAATGCTATCTGAAAGCTTACAATACCTTTACAGTTCCCGACTAGAAATACCTCCGCTGTACCCTGCACTGTGTTGATGGTGTTTCCTCTGTCTCGCCGTGTGGCGGGAATAAGGAAACCGTGAATTTTCAAAATGAAAATGTAAAGCTGCTTAAATTTCGGTATACAAACTATGACAAATGGGGAATGCTTTCAATAATACTACTAATATAAACCGTTTTTTTAGAGGAATTAGAAGATGGCTCAGTGGGTAAAATACATGTTGTGTAAGCATCAGGACCCGGGTTCAGTCCCCCAGCACCCACATAAAAAGCCCGCCTTGCTGTTGTATCCCTGTAATTCCAGTTCTGGGAGGCAGAGACAAACACACACACACACACACACACACACACACACACACACACACACACACATGAGAAAGTAGAGAAAAGGAATGATGAATATTTGATAGTCATCCCTGTGGAGTAGATTACAGTATTAAAATACTTGAAAATAGTCGATCACGTAGAACCTTGACTACTATAAATCCGTAGCTACACATTCACAGATACGCCCCGAGGTAGGACGGGAAACCGCGAGGAGGAGTCTTAATACAGAACGTACGGAAGGGGCAATCTAGCAGGAAACCCTTACCTGCAATTAAAAATGTCTCCTGGGACGCACACGATTCTGGCCACTAGGTGTCGACAAAAGACTTAGAATGTGTGGTGACTCTGCTGCGCTCGTGGCTGCAGACCCGGTTCCTGTTAACACAGCCCTTCAATTTATGGTAAAATGTTCTTTCAGCTGGGGTCTTATGAATGTTCAATGGAAACAGGAGCCATTTCAGAATCACTCCTGGGGATTTCTGTTTCGCGTTTCTTTGTCTTCCATTTTAGGACTGATAACTTCATGTCTGTGCAAAAGAGCTAATTAGTCTCATCAGGCATAAACTTGATCCCAGTGTCCGAATTGAGATTCAGAGACAGCGATGTTGTTTAATTGGCGGTCAGGGCTATTAGAAAGATCCCGGGGAGCAGAGGAACATTGCCGGGAGGTGATCTGAGCCAAGCACAAGGGTACGGATATACCCCAGGGCTGTGTGCTCCTGTCATGGAGAACATTCTCTAATTTGCTGATAATTTGCAACGGGGATATCCCATGGACACACCGAAGGCCTGGTAACTTGTCAGGTGAACCTAGCAGGCACTTCATTGGTCCACAAAGAGTATCAACAAGTATGCTATTCTTTGTAAGAAGCTCCCAATTCTATTGTAATTTGTTGCTCTTTGGTGGAAGCAGCAATAAATGTTTATCAATGGCTGAAGTAAGGTTATGGCTTTTATAAATGAACAAGAATAGACCGGGTCAAGTCTAATTCATTTTTTCCTTTTGATGGCATTTTGTGTTCTAAAGTGATGACATACAGATCAGATGATCTTTGAACCCTTTCCTCTATTGTTTTGGGCATCCTGTGTAATCCCGTCCCGCTGATATTTCTGCCCTCACTCCATCTACATACTAAAATATAATGAGTTCGGTCATTTTTGTGTTGCAGCTTTGGGTACTTCTTATCCACATGTTTGGCTTTATCTTCAGCTATCGTTAGCTTTTCCTGTCCATAGCCAACCTGAGCGCATACCTGCACACGAGCCTCTCTCTTGCTATCACCAGCCTGCATGCCCTTTCTTCTCCCTTCACTTAAGTAATCATGGCTTTTTAAAAACTGAGCTCCAGGTTGTTTCCTCCAAGGTGTGTCACACATCTGCTTTCTGAGACTTGTGTCCCTTGGTAGTGTTAGTTTGGCTCCAGGACATGTGGATACTACGTTTCATCTTCAAGTCCTTTGTATAAAATGGTGTATTGTAATATAATTTACACACAGAACCCCAAATACCCAAGGTCACTTCTAAATTATTATAGTATTTGATACAATTCGAGTATCGTATAAATACTTATTATACTGCTTTGTTTAAATACTGAGAAAAGATCTGCACAGAAGAATTTTTAAAAATGTTTTCCACCTGTGATTCAATCCACAGACGTGTAATTTGTAGACAAGAGCCAAAGGCATTATCACTCAGTTTGACTCGCGACTTTAACCCACCCCCTTGTTTCCTTATATATTAACATATAAATTAAATTATTATACATATATGCACAGCCATACACAACTAACTAGATTATAAAGTTCTGAGGGCAGGGAGTATAACTCCAGTGACACCAATGTAAATTGTATGTACACTTTTAAGGCAAATTTGCTCATCTATATGATCCCAGAGCTTAGAGTAGAGGAAGGGTTTGTTGGGATAACTAAGGAATTGATTTAAACTGTTAAACCCTGAATCACTGGTAATATTAGAATGTGACACCTGACGCGAATAACTTCATTACCGGGGACCTTTCAACCTCCAGCTCAGCTTATCCCAACCATGGCAACTTCCTCAAGTCCATACAACTCTCGTTTCTCCTCCTCCATAATTAGAATTATGGTAATCAAATGAATATATGTATATAAATGGTACGGAAGAGTTCTGGGCCTATAATAAGCAATCAATTGATTCTTTAAAAATGTTTTCAAATGGCGTTTTAATTTATTTTGGGCGTGTGGTGGAGGTGGACCCACGCATGCCAAGACACGCACATGGAAGTGCTTGTGGGAGTGGGTTCTCCATGCGGGTCTGCAGGGTTGAGCTCAGGTGGTTGGGTTTGATGGCAGGCACCTTTACCTGCCAGCCACAGGTCTCTTGTAATGCATATAATTCTGATTGCAATCTTGTTCAAGGTTGCCTGGGAGTGAAGTCTGCCATCCAACTATGTTCTAAACCCTTCAGGGTCAGGATTTTCTCCAAACTATTAGCAAAGTGTGAGTGTCGTCTCTCTGAAGTTTCAGTACAGATGAATGTGGCTTCCCTTCGTTTTCCACTGTCGTCTCACCGTAGACTTGTCTTTCTTTTAATTGTCCTCATAGGATTTATTTTCTCAGTGCTGTCTCTATTTATGTTTTCAATGTTGTTGAGTGTTCTTCATGACTCCCTTCTGCCTACTTTCTATTTCCTTTAAGATTTTTTTCCCTTATTAAGAATAACATTGCAAAATTTGCAGGCAAATAGATGAAAATAGAAAAAAAGATCATCCCAGGTGAGGTAACTCAGACCTCGGAAAGATAAATGTAGAATGTATTCCCTTATATGAGGATGTTAGCCATTAAATAAATAATAACCAACTTACAACACATAGACCAAGAAAGGTTAGGCATAGAAGTAGGGACTGGGGGAACACATGAATGGATTTCCTTGAGAGGGGGGAATAGAATGGATTTTATGTGTGGACTTGGGCCACAAATCTCAGTATCAGTTGGGGAAGGAGAGGAGGTATAGGGTTGAGAGAGAGGATGCAGGGTCAGTCAGCACAAATTGAGGAGACTTTGAGAG